ACAGAGCGGCTCACACGAGAGCGTGCGCTCTCTGTGCGAATGATAGCAGCCTCATTCAAGGTGGTCGATCGCGCACCCCTAAAGAAATTTCAGAAACTTCTCGGTCTAATGGCAGCATCATCATCAGTACTCCGTATGGGATTACTGCGCGTGCGCCCTCTACAGCACTGGCTAAAACGCTGCGTGCCAACCCATGCATGGCAGTCAGGCAGCATGCGCATCATGGCGAATCACGGTTGTTTACGGACCCTGATTCCCTGGCGGGCCCAGGACTGGTACCAACACGTGGGTGTGACCATGGGAGTAGTTTCCAGGAGGAAAGTGTTTTTTTACAGACGTATCCAACCTGGGTTGGGGAGCACTACACGAGGGCAAGCCTGCCTCCGGCCTCTGGTCAAGCACGGAGCAGAGCTTACAAATCAACTGTCTGGAAATGAAAGCAGTTGGTTTGGCCCTAAAAGCATTTCTGTCAAGCCTCAAAGGTCACTACATCTTAGTCCGCACGAACAACACGTCAGTGGTGGCCTACATAAATTGCCAGGGCGGCATCATCCTGTATGCCTTAGCGAGAGACAGGGGTGGTAAAAGTACTCAAAAGTTATACACGAGTAAAAGTATATATACCTAAATAAAAAATTACTCCAGTAAAAGTAGAAAGTCCTCCATTCAAACATCACTTGAGTAAAAGTACAAAAGTATCCGATTTAAAACGTACTGAAGTAAAAAGTAAATATTCAAATTAACTGTATATCAATAATTAAGATCAATTGTTTTGGGAGTGATATGCAATGTTTTATTTGAACAAATGATAAGATTAGATACTGCAATTATGAATTTGTTAGCTAGCTGTTACAAGGCATGTTTCAATATGAAATCACCTGGCTAACAATAGTACCATTAAAGCAACACTAAAGAACGTTTCCTCTGCGGTCCCCTACAGGTTGGAAGTGGCATTGTCTGTTTCCGCTGTCGTAAATAATTTAGCCCACCGCAGCCTACTGTCGCACGCATGCTCGCTGTTTATCCACTGTTTATCCAGCACCGGCTTTAAAGTGAATGATGTCCAATTGTAACGCTTGCCGTTAAGCAAGTCAAAATTTGTAGTTTTATTATGTCTCATTCGAACTACAGAAACGCGACCCGATCTGGCAAACTTATATAGTGTGGTTCTAGCAGATATAGGACCACAAAGCGAAGGCAGAAGTGCCTTTCACCCTGTTACGACTTGATGAACCGCTGAAACGATTTTGGAAACATTATTTTAAGGTAAAAAATCTCCTTTAGTGTTGCTTTAATGTCAACTCACCTCAATATGTTTTCTCAGATTTGAGGGTGAAGTTTTGAATGCTGAAATTTAATTCACCCGTGGCAGGCAAAGAAGACATTTCAGCCGATATTAATCTCCCTTGATTTCAGTGAATTCGAACATCATTGATATATGGCCATGGGTGATCCCTGTCGGAAATCTTGGGATCATTGCTGGCAGCGAGAGCTGCACCTTCACCAGTTTCTGGGGTCAATGGCGAACTGACTGCTATGTGAGCGTATGCTGGCAAAGAGCTTGCGCGTTCTTTTTTTCAAAAGAAAAACAAGTTTTTCATTGGTTTGGAAAGCCAGTGTAATAAATACTTGGAGCGGGCATGGGGAAATGTATCGGAGTAAAAAGTAAACGTTGTCCTTAAAATTGTAGTGGAGTAAAAGTGAAAGTAGATGCAAATAAAACATACTCAAGTAAAGTACAGATCCCCGAAAAAAATACTTGAGTAAAGTAACAAAGTATTTTTACTTCATTACTTACCACCACTGGCGAGAGACCTCCTCTTGTGGGCACAGACCAATGTGAGTTCTCAGAGGGCAGTACATATCCCTGGCATTCAGAATCTGGGTGCGGATATGCTCTCGCGGGGCAACACTCCCCTAGGCGAGTGGTCCCTGAACTCACAGACAGTCAGTCTGATATGGAGTGTGTTCGGCGAGGCTGAAATCAACCTTTTGTGTCCGGTCTAGACCCGACGGTGTCCGGTCTGTTTATTATATATACTTAATTTCTGGCTAGCCCATTGGTCACACGCCCGCGCCATTGGATGTGCAGTTGCCGCAGCACAGCCAATGAGCGAGCCAGACGCTCAATGTGATAGCTGTGCTGCTGCAAATGCGTTTTACATATAGGCTTCAGTTGTAACAATTTGGCTTACACTAAACAGCAAGGAGAAAAGTACATCACACAAACATAAGGTAACGGTCGGATCTAATACCTGCCGGTGTAATTACAACCAGTGGCCAGCTTACTTTTGATAAACAACCCCCGACTAAACAAAATAAGCAAACAATCTGTACATGTGTGGACTTAAAATAAATATACCTTAACGAAAAACCCATAAGATACCGGTTCAACAACGTGCATTGAAAGATATACCAGGATCATACCACGTCGGGCAACACACAGATATTCAGCGCCGGAGGCGCGGCCGCTCTCCGATCCATCCAACAAACATTGCACACGTTATCAAAATTTCCCACACACATTTAACCCTCAAAAAACCAATGTCCCAGCAGATCAAATGTTCATTCAACGAATATAAAGTGTCTGGACTGAACTAGATGTCCTCCGCGGCGAAAAGAAGAGAAAAAAAAAAATACCAGGCGAAGCGTGGCGAGGCTCTGCAGTCAAAATATTCCCCAGTAAACTTACGCAACCTCACCACAGTCTGTTTAGCTGATGGGATTCTGTAGTAGTCCAGAAAAATCCATCATATAATCCACAAAACAAAGAGTTTCTTTGTCCCTTTGATGCGTTCCTCAAGCAACCATTCCACAGAGCCCACTAAACTCAGACCGCTTCCCCGATTGAACTCTGGAGTCCTCTCCGCACGTCACTTCCCGTTCTCCTTTTAAAACTGGTGGAAAAATAGTGACCACAAAAAAAAACAAAGAAAAGTCCCTATACAATCCGTGATTACTCCACAGGCATCTGATATAACAGTTCTTTCATTTTTTACATGTGAAGGAAAAACAATATCCACAAAGCATGTTTACCATCACCTCAAAAAAACTGTAAATCAAGGAAAAGGAGTTTCCCCACTGCGTATAGCTACGCAATACTCGTTCCCTTCTCTCGGGGAACTGAGGTTACGATAGTAACCGAGTAGTTATTTTTTGTCTGATTCCAACAAATTATACATCATTTTGAATGTGAAAATAACAATAACTAATTTTTTTCAAATTTGCTCACTGCGACTCATTTTGTCAGCACGGGTCACATTTTTGTCTTGTTTTCAGTCCAAAATATCAAAGACTTCTTAAATCAAGCTGCATGTACTGAACAAGTAAAACGACATAAGATGTTGTCTGGTTTTCAAAAAAAATTACGCAAGATTTTTGCTTAAAAACAAGCAAAATTATCTGCCAATGGGGGTAAGAAAAATAACCTAGTTTCCGTTTGAATTAAGAAATATGTTTCTTGCAGTGTATGATCTCTTTATGAACTTTTTGAAGCATCAAAGTGGTAGTTGCGTGGACTGTCAATGAAGGGACAGAAATCAGATTTCATTAACATATCTTTATTTGTGTTTCGAAGATGAACGAAAGTCTACATGTTTTGAACAACACGAGGGCGAGTAAATTAATGACAGATTTTTCATTTTTGGGTGAACTATCCCTTTACAATATAGCTGTGATTTATGTGTCCAGAGGAGCTTTGGGGATTGCAGTGAATTCTAAGATGGGGGAACTGAGACTGCTTAAGTGTGGCTATGGAAGAGTTACGTTAGCTTATGGATAGATAAACTGTTATTTCTCTGAAACTAATAAAGTGAAGAACCTTATTATGCATCGAACAAATAAATGAAAGATTATTTGTTAACTATCAGCAATATTACCTCTAACGTTAATTAGAAAATCATAGCTCTGGAAAAAATTAGGAGACCACTGCAAAATAAGATGCCATGTTTTCAGACTTCGAATAATGCAAGAAAACAAGTTTATATTATTTTTTTTCAACACAATACTAATGTTTTAACTTAGGAAGAAATCAATATTTGGTGGAATAACCCTGATTTCCAATCACAGTTCTTGGCATGCTCCCTATCATTCGGTCACATTGCTGTTGGGTGACTTTGTCACATTAATGTAGCAATCTTTCTTTTAGGATAATCTTTTACGTGGTTTAAGGTATGCGTCCTTCGCAAAGACGTATCTGCCCGATTCTAGCCTTACTGAAGAACTCATTTGCATAAAGCACACAGAAGTCTTTAAAGTGTCTTTAAAGTATTACCAATGCATTTCTCACTTTCCAAACCACCACAAGTATACATTTGACGATATTCTAAACAAATAGAATCCAAACAAGATGGAAAAAGATTGAACTGTCATGGATTTATTCATTTGTACATTAACAGCTGAATTTGTGTAAGATGTTGCATTACAAATAGCTGTCACTGTGAATACTTATTTCTCTGAATAAGTATGAATTGACTGTATGTAGTTTGCATCAGTTTTAAGGTTTCCAAACATAGTTTTGAATGGATTTGGATGGATCATTGTGATCTCTCTTTGTTTCACCCACTGATGCTGAGGTCCTGAGGAATTTTTATGGCAGTCACAGGCCAAGACCTTAGGGATTAGTCTCTAGATGGGTGAAGGGCGGATACTGCATGTGGATTAAAGAAAAGTCCTGTTCTTCCTTGGCTTGGTACCAGAGGACTTCTTCTTTCCCTCTAAGAGGTGTCTGGCTGTTTTAGCAATTTAGAAATATATTTTAAAATGTTTTTTTTTTTTTTTACCGTATAGGTTTGCACACTTTCACACATTGAATCGATGTCTGATTACAGCAATCAACTCTCATCAATATTCTTTCAGATTCTCTCTGAACGGCTGTGGCAATTGAAGAATTGAAAGAAGTGTTTGTTCTTAACATTAATGGAGGAGGGAGAGGAGGGGTTTGGGGGGAACTTTAGGCTGCGAGCTGAATTATGCAAACAATTGTAGGCTCACAGATTGTAAGTGTGATGAGCATCTGCTAAATGAGCAACAACGACCACAATTCACACCTTCAGTCAGTGAAGCTCCCACAGCCGTTCGTGAGAGTTTAAATGCTGGGAAAAATTCCCATCTTCCCACAGGAGAAGAAACAAGCAGGAGGAATGACTCCAGGAGAAACTACTGACATATTATTGTAAAGATGGAGTTTGAGGAAGAACCCTGCAGAATGAGAGATGAAGAAACAGAGGAAGGTTGGTGTTTTCCCTCATTCTCTTTAATGACTGACAAGAAACATTAAAATAAAAAATGACATATAAAAATGCATCTAGCTACTAGATTCACTTACATTCCTTCTTGTTTTACATTTGCCCTTCTTTAAAGAATATTCAATCTTGAAGTGAATGAAGACCAACAACATATATTAAAAAAAAAAAAAAAAAAATTTTTGCAGATGGAAACACAGTCATTTCACAGACTAAAAGGAAATTCACACACAAAAAAGCTGGGAAATCTGGAGTCAAAGGATCTTTTGCCTGCACTGAGTGTGGAAACTGCTACACACGTAAACCAGACCTTACGCGACACATGAGAATGCACACTGGAGAGAATCTGTTCACATGCACTCAGTGTGGAAAGGATTTTACAAACAAAGGAAAGTTGGATGTACACATGAGAGTTCACACGGGAGAAAGACCGTTCACATGCACTCAGTGTGGAAAGAGTTACATACATGAACCAGACCTTAAGAGACACATGAGAATTCACACTGGAGAAAAACCATTCACATGCACTCAGTGTGGAAGGAGTTTCATTGACAAAACATGCTTAAATTCGCACATGAAAATTCACACTGGAGAAAAACCATTCACATGCACTCAGTGTGGAAAGAGTTTCGCTCACAGCACCGTTCTCAACAATCATCTGCGCCGTCACACTGGAGTGAAGTCATTCAGCTGTGATCAGTGTGATAAAACATTTGTTTTGGCAATGTACTTACAAAGACACCTTAAAGTTCATGCTGGTGTGAAGCCTCACTTTTGTTCTTTATGTGGAAAGTGTTTTATATACCTGCAAAAGTTAAAAGAGCATGAGCGTATTCATACTGGTGTGAGACCTTATATGTGCTCTGACTGTGGGAAGACCTACACTACATCCACTGGTTTAAAATTACACCAGATAGTTCATACTGGAGAGAAACTGCACAAGTGCTCACACTGTGGAAAGAGTTTCTCTTCCTCATCATACTTGAAATCTCATGAGAGAGTTCATACTGGAGAGAAGCCGCACCAGTGCTCTTCATGTGGGAAGAGTTTCGCCCACTCACCTAATCTATGGTTTCATAAGAAAAAAGGTTGCTCAAAGTCGTCCAAATGAGAAAAGTAAATGTGATGTTCAGAAAAAGCAAAAGCTGGAATTAGTTCCAACAGACTCTTTTCATCTAAGGTAATTTGTTAAAATCAGGTTTGAAGTTTGATTATTTTTGACAAAGAACAGTTTAGTAAGGTTAAAGTAGTTCAGAAAACCAGTGTGTTGTTGTGAAATGCCACAATTTATGAAGAGATGTGTATTATTTTAAATTAATCACATATGATCATTTCTGAAACATTCTGAACATTAGTTCATTAAATACATTTTTTTTAGCCCAGCTGTTTGGTGAATTATTGAGAACATGTGAATTATTGAGAACATAATGAAAAGATGTTATTGGTTGAAATCACTCAAGAGTCTGTGAATGTTCATGAGCTGTTTTATGGTGTTTGAAACTCAGTCTGTGAACAAAATAATTGGTTACGGGGTAGGCTAGTTTATGGTTGAATGGGATTTAGTAATATTTGTTGTATCTATGAAATCTTAAATGTTTTGTGTAATGTAATGATTGCACATTTTGAAATATGTGAAATAAAATGGATCGTAGTTAATTACCTGACTCATTTAACCCTCTGGGGTTCTTCATTTATGACTCACACTCAGGACCTTCGGGTCAAAAATGACCCGGAGGGCGGCATTAAGATACATTTTATTTGAGTAAAATCAATGAAATATATTTTTGTTCAATAGTATTTTTTCTTCTCTTTTTTGGTGTTTTGAGATAATTTTATGATTTATAATTAATATTTATGCAATAATTAAGACCCATTTTTTCCCATTGAATATAATAGAAAATGTATATATATATAATAAAAAAAAAGCCATTTTTTTATTAACGCTGTATTTCATTCTAGAGTCAAGTCTAGGCCTCATGAAAGCAATTTTTGAAATGAGATCGGAGCCATCTGGTGGACACACTGAGCATTTTTATCACGCAATAGCACATTTTTACCACTAGTGGATTTACAGCTCTCTGTAGAAACCTATGGTAGAAACACTCTAGTGATTTTTTCACATATTGTTTCATTTTTTTCAGGTTGTTGATTTGAATATATAATAACAGATTCTCAAAGACTATTTTTGTCATTTTTAAAAAAAAAATTTAAAAATTGTTTTTTTTTTTTGGTTGGTTTAAATGGTAATTTGAAGTGGCAGTTTTACTTTATAATACATTCAAACCTGAACATTGCATTATAAAGAGAACAAATGGAAAGTATTTTGTCACCCATTGTTTTAAGAGATTCACCCCTTCACTGTTGTGTGCTTTTTTTCTGCATCCTGGCTTTTTGGTAGATTGTATGCACAAAAAAACTCTGTATTTTCATATTTTTGCCAATTTCCCATTCATTTCCTATGCGGGTCATTTTTGACCCGAAGACCCTGAGTGTGACTATTTTTTTTTACGACCACTTAGACTTCTCAAATCCTGTCCCCAATTTTTTTGGGTGTTCATATACCAAGTACCAAAAAAGTCACCAAGTTTTGGACCATTCCGATGAAGCTACGATTTTTAACATTTTTTTATTTAAACGCTTCGGGTCATTTTTGACCCGAAGAACCCCAGAGGGTTAATGAAGAAATGCACTTTAGCTTGCATGAAATCAAGGGGTTAAACATTGTGCTCAACACTAGCAATATAATTCTTTAAAATAAAAAAAATAAAAGGTTTTCCATTTTTTCATAATATGGACTCTGACACACTCACACACTTGCATGTTTACGGGGACTATCTATAGGTGTAATGGTTTTTATACTGTAAACTGTATATTCTCTCCCCTTACACTAACCCAACCCATAAACCTACCCAACACAGAAAACTTTTTTGAACTTCAAAAAACAGTTTAGTATGTTTTTTTAAGCCTTTGGTTTACGAGGACACAGGAAGTGTCCTTGTTAACCATGTTTACGTTGTATGATTTCCATTACACAAGAGTAGATGTTAAACCTCATGCTGATTTGTACTCGGCTTTCGCCAAGATAAGCACAAACTAAGACGTAGCTTTACAGTAACCTATGCTTCTCTCTCTCCATCTCTCCATCCATTTACGCTTCTATCCATATGGTGATGTGAATCTCCTTCTGTCCGGCGTTAACGGCTGCAGTATACTTGGCGCAGTGTGGTCTCCCCAGTGGACCAGCACGACAACCGTCTGGATTGAGCCGAGTAGGGGACATCTCTAGGGTCTTCAAGTGGGCACCTTCCATCCTCAGTGTTTCGTCGACTAGCCCACGACACCTCAAGAGGGCTCGACAGTGACTCTGGCGTCCCAGAGTCACCCCCCTCCGTCCCCCACTCACCTCAGCCCAGCTTACTGACCTTTACATCCCTCCTGCTGCTGAGGTTGCTCCTTCCTCGTAGTTAACGTGTGACCGAACCGCAATCTCACAATCTCCCCGCAACCCAACCATACGCGCCAACCCGTTTGACTAAGGCTGTCGAGGCCCACTGTCGTCGTTAAAGCAGGTTCAGTGGCAATGGTGTAACAGTTCTAGTAAACTGTTACCTGTCTCCTATGTTAAATGCAAGTTGCAATTTCACTCCCGGCCATTAGAGGGCACTAGGGAGCCATTATCCGGGAGATCTCTCTAGACCAGAAAGTAAAAGGAAGAGGGAAGGTTGAGTTAGGAATACCTGTTAGCTGAGAGCACATGCTCTTTCCATGCTTTCATTTGGAAAACCCTGTTGAGGAACATTTCTGTTCAACATCTCAATGTGAGTTTACTTATTTTGTTTCTTTATCATTAACAAAGGTTTATAGTGCAAAAGTATTTTGCTTGCTGAACCTCATGTTGTATTGTTTGTTTTATTTTGACCAGAGGGTTTTGGTATCTGCTTGATTTTGAGGGCTTCTCAACTGGTTCAAGTTATTTGTGTTATCTTCAACGTGGAAGTATATCCGAACTCCTGAACGAAAATACACTTTTTCCTTGGATTAACCCTTGGTGAACAAACATGGATGATGTTCTTCTTACATCTTAAACACCTACAATGGTGTGATGGACCAAGGACAATTGTGGTAACTCTGGACTTTGACATTGGGTGCACATTTTTAAGGTTTTGCTTCCAAATGCTCTGCCTTATGTAAATTTGTCAAGACATTTTGTATGGAAAAATGTATACTTTACTTAAGGGAAATATAACTGTTGGTAAATGGTGATTGATCCACCATTTTTATTTATGTGACCCTTGACGTTAGTGTTACAACGGTTCCGTATGGCATACTACCTACCGCAAAACACAATATCTGCCCAAACACCAACCCTCATTCACGCAATATACACAGGAACGTAATAACTGTAATTACTATGCAAACCATACAAATAAACCAACAGACTCTTCGAGTTTTTCAAGAATTCTACGAAACCGTAGCGTGGCGGCCTGTACACTGCCAGCCAGAATCTTTCCGTCTCAACCACAGCCAGTTGCTGCTCCTCTCTGCTGCTTTAGATAAGTTCTTTCCTGTGCGACGCAACTCTTGGCCACTGAATCCGACGTCTCTGAGGGACCGGGTTGTAGAGTGTGCCACAAATCCTCGACAGCCCACTTCCACTGGATAAACCTGGACTCTCCATCCTCGCTGTTCTGCTTCAGTGGCCAGATGAGCATACCGCAGTTTCTTCCTCTCATATGCCTCATCTACAGCATCCTCCCATGGCACTGTTAACTCTATCAGTTGAACAATGCGTGCTGATCCAGACCACAAAACAATATCTGGTCGTAGGTTAGTGGTGGCAATCTCAGGTGGAAAAATAAGCCGTTGATCAAGATCAGCCAGCATTTTCCAGTCCCTATGCAGCTTCCAGTTGTCCTGGGCGAGAATTGGTTTTAACACCTTTTCTTGGTGGTTGCTCGCCTGGGCAGAGGAATTTTGTCTTCTGTGTGTAATGTTTTGCTAGAACAGGTGGCAACTTATTGGTCATGTTGCGCTTGCCTTCCAATGCTAAAGCCAAACATCGCAGTACTTGGTCATGGCGCCAAGTAAACCGACCTTGGCTAAGAGCCACCTTACATCCTGTCAAAATGTGCCTTAATGTGGCAGGTGATGAACACAAAGGACAAGAGGGATCCTCTCCTACCCAGAGGTTTTGGTTTTGTGGTGATGGGAGAACATCATCTGTTGACCTGGGGCCGTATTCACAAAGAATTTTAAGGCTAAAAGTAGCTCCTAACTGGCGAATTTAGGAATTTAATAAAAATAATGGGCGTGTCACTCCTAACTTTAGGACTTTTTGTCACTAAGAGTAATTCACAAAGCATTTTAGCCCTAAAAGTAGCACCTAAGTCTGGGATAGCTTAAAAGAAGTCGAGAGGACTCCTAACTCACTAAGACCTGTTCACAAAGGATTGTAGCGCATACCACCGCCTCTCGCAGTCGCCCGGGGTCCGCGACACAAGCGGGATTGCTGCATTGATATGCAAACAAATCCTCTCCCATATCTCACGCTTAGTTTTGCTTGATATCCCAGTGCCGAATTTCACTTTTATTATGTTTTTGGGCCAGCAGCAGTAACTGATCCTGCGTCCAGTTGGGCTTTCTTTTCCGTTTTGGCGAGTTCATAATCCACCGTCATTCAACTATTATGGTGTGTTCACACCGAAAGCGAATTTAATTATTTGCGCGAGTAGATTACAAAGTCAATGCAAAGACGCGAATAGACGCATCATTCGCGCCGGGCGTTGCGAATGACGCAAATTGGGCGATGACAATGTCTTCCGCGCAAGTTGAAAAATTTGAACTCGAGCGAATGTTCAAGCGTCTAACTAGACGCGATAGACGCGTATTTGACGCTCTATTCGCGTTCGGTGTGAACACACCATTACATTACTTCAATAGGAGCAACATTTCCTTACTTTAAGTAGTCTATTTAGGCTAATAGGATGTCAATTAATCAAGCAAGTGTTAATGCAAGTGTCGTTTTTTCATTATTAGGCAAGTGGCGGTTTTCATTGGGGTATTAGGCTACCTTGATTTAATTTAATTGACGACTTTTCTCTCTCTCTCTGCCTTTTTAGAATTACACTTCACTGGGGCCTACACAAACATGTCATTATGCATTTCGATGACATTACTATTGTTATTTTGTGTAGGACACAGACATATTTAGATG